CGCACGTTTAGGGGGCTGGTAAGAGAGGTACTCGCACCCGAGAGGGCTCACGAGACTGACTTTTTCCAGTCTCAAGAGACTCAGCAGGGGTGCATAAAGCGTCCAGGCCGGGAGTGCGGGGGGTGCAGCGCAGCGCGAGCCGGAGGGGGCGTCCAGTTGTGAGTCGCTTTCGCCGCCCCTTCGCGCTCCAGGCCCCAGTCGCCGTCCGCCTCTTGGGCTTTGACGGTGTCACTGGGATCCGAACACTGAGTCAGGGAGAGAAGGAGAGGGCCAGTGGCAGCCAGAATTGCCCCTTTAAGATCCGGGCTGTGTTCCCGCCTCATCACCGGCTATGCCAGGTACAATTGCCCTGGTCCACGGTCCGAGAAAGTGTGTGTGTTTTGTGGTGGGGGAGGAAGGAGGTAACCCAAAGAAAATAAGACTGAGACCCGAGGTTTCCCGGCTTTCGGAGAAAAGGGTCTACTTACTTACTGGGTGGGGACGGTTTAGCAGGGGAGAGTAACTTGGGAGAGGTGTGATCCATAGAGCGCGTGTTTGTTGTTAGACGCCGCACAACCCACGCTGCTGGTGATAATAGGGGTAGGCGCGTCGGGAACCAGACCCAGGTAGGTAATGGGGAGATTAACCTGGAATTAACCTCGTCAAGTGCTAGACAATCGCTTTTGCAATTTGATACACTCCAGGTTTTTCTTTGGGGAGGGGGGTCCTCTGGGTTAACCGCGGGAGGTGTGTTATGTGCGTGTGTGCTCGCGTGATTGTCGGGCGGGTGCTGATGCGAGTTAGCGGAAGGATGGCTGTACTGAAACAGACAGCCCCAGCACGGGAGAGGTGAGGCGGGAGGTGAACGTACAGATCCGTAGGTTTAGAAGTGCGAAAGCTTGGCTTGAAATTAACAGACGCGTGCAATCCGCGCGCGCACACAGACACCCCGTGCAGCCCCGCCCCGCCCCCCCCCGCCTGGCGCCAATTGACAGCAGAGCAGGGGCGAGAGGGGCATGAGAGGTTCCTCTGCCCAGTGGTCTTCCCAAGTCTTGGAATCAGTCCATCTTATTTGGGGACTGTTCGTGCAACAAGGTGGGGTTCACTTCAACCAATGGGACCCCCCCAACTCCGTAAAGAAATCCCTAGAGCTACTTCCGTGCCACCACACTTAAAGGGTTAACTGCAGCGGTGGTCTAGGTTTTTGGCCGAGACTTTAGGAAATAAAATAATTCACAGGGGTATCGGCCTCTGCCTTGTTAGAGCCAATCTGCAGAATTCGCAGTCTGTCACCCCCGACCTTCCCTGATCTCCACCCCCGCCTCCGACGTCCCCCTGACCTTTTCTCCGAATCCCACAAGGACCCCTGGGGCTCAGTGTCCAACCGACAGGTAAGGTGGGGAGAAGGAAGCAGGCCTTAAGTCTCTGGATCCATCCGCCCCCGGGGCCTTTGACTCTAAGGTGGGAGGGAAATGGGGGATGCCTGTAGAGGAGCATTGAAGGGGTTAATGGGAGCCCTCTGAATCCCAGCTTTATTTTTTCGGAGTCATTTATCAGATTTTACGGGGGGACCTCCAAGGGCTCTCCGTTTCCACCGTGAGCCATCTAAACAGAGCCCAGGGCTAAAAATACAACATTTTTGTATAAATTGGACTCGCGGCCCGAGCGGCTGCCCCTATGAAAGTCCTCTTTGTGAAGACCGTGGAAACGGCGGACAAATAACTCTTTATTAATGCCACAAAAAACGCACTTTAATTATAGTTAGGCAGATCAGAGGTGGGGGGTGGCAGGAGAGAGGCGGCGGCGACCTCGGAAAATTCACAACCCAACTTTTGTGTCGAAAGAAAAGAAAAACAGAGGAAACGCAGGAGAGGAGAGAAGGAGAGTCAGACGGAGTGAGAGAGACGGTAGAGACCGAGGGAGGGAACTCCGTTCCTCACCCTCCTTTTGTCGCACCTCCACCCTCGCCTCGATTTCTCTTAAAGGGGTATACGCCATCTAGAACTGCGGCTGGG